GAACGAGGGTTACCACACTTCTCAATGAACGTGTATTTCTCCTCTCCCTATTATAAAAAGGCCAGATAAATGACAAAGAACTAACATTCAGAGAGTCTGTGAGAGTTCTGTGCCCTCCAGAATAAAAGCCCAGTCCTCACCAGTGTGTGCTCGTAGACGAGCCCCGCGTGTCCCAAACACTCAGCCGTGAGATCGTCCAAAGAGTTCATCGCTACACCACCGCATGCCAGAGTCAGCCTTAGGGGAATACACGTTTTCAAGAGTAAGGGGGAAGCTGGATATTTTGTTTTTCATTTTTTTGGACAGTTTGTACTTAGTTAACAAATAAACAAACAAAAAAGAAAAAATGTTGCAAGCTCCCATTGAATAATATCCTGATCTATACATCATTGACAGAATTTTCCGGCGCTATTACACATCTTCTGAAAGAGTACTGAATCTCCAGATCAAAACAGCGAAGAAGCAGAAACAAGCAATTGCGTATTTTTTTATGAAACTTGCCCGCATTTAAGTGTTGATAAAAGATTGCACAAAGCTAGAATAAAACAGTTTGTTTTGTTTAAAAGCAGAGGCCGTGTTCTTTTTGAAATATTACACGTTCAAATATTCATACAACAAAATATTCTGGGGGCCGTCAAACTTTGTGAAAATGATCAAAAATGCTGGTTCTCAAATCTGAAATTTGCAAGCGTGTTCTGTTCTTAGTTATTTTGTAATAAAATGTAAAAATATTTAAATTGAAAAAAAACGATTTAGATTGGTACTTAATGCAAACATACAAAATAGCAATGTTTTGGTTGTTTTTTGAAAGTGCAAGGAATATTATCCTTATACTATTATATTAATGTATTCGTTTTTCCGTTTTCTCTTTATTTGTAATCAATTAGTGCAGTTAGCATTTCGTTCACACAAGCAATCCCAATCATAAAAACTACTTTAGGTTTTAGAATCAAATAGGTAGATTAAAAAGTGGTTTCAGCACACATCTCCCTGACATTCGTCTCTTACCTCTCCATGTTTCGTCTCTTTGCTCGGCGCAGCGCCACAATGCCCTCTTTAGCCAGCGCGTCCAGAGAGAATGGATCAATACCCTGAACACAAGAAATAAATCGGTTTAAAGTGAGAGATTTAGCAAGCGGTGCAAACTAAAAGACTGAAACTCTACTGGTCTGATGGTAATCAATACTATCAGTGATGCTGGCCTTAAATAGTGAAAATATGAATAAGTATCAATTACCTTCTGGTTGATGACCACAAAGCCCTTCTTAGTATCTGCGCACACTTTATTCTTCAGCTCGATTATTTTCATCACACGATCTTCGATGAACTTCCTCTCCGCCTTCACCAGCTTGTCTCTCTCGCCTGCGCTCTTGTAGAAGAACCCAGAGTTCACTTCTCTGTGAAAACACAGCGGGTACAGGTTTCAGAAT